GGGAGAAGGGTGCAACAATGAATGAATGGAATTCCAAAATCTCTGTAGATGTTCATTGAAATGAAAAATAAACAAACTAAATTAAAAAAGAAGTATATGACCTGACCCTGAACCCAGTTCCAGGGACAAAAAGGAAATACAATAGCCAGTTAAGGAAGCAAAGGAGGATGGAGCCTCAGGGTTCAATCAGGCATCCCCACTGGACCTACCTGGGAAAACACTTTACAGTCCAGAGGGGAATAAATGCCAGGAAAACATCTTCTAACAGATGTTAGAAGGCAAGCAGCTTCAACCCAAGACCAACAGTAAGGTGATAAAGTGTGCTCCCTTTCCCCCTTCACATCAATGCCTCTGTTCAGCATGAAGAAGCCAGAGAGTCTGCACCCAATTCCCAAATGAGAAACCCACAAGTGAAAAAGACAGTTTGTTTAATCACTATTGGACTATGCTTACCATTGCCCTGAATCATCTGGTTCCCACCGGATCCTTTTCATTTCCTTCACCTGCTCCCCCCACCAACCAAATTGTACAGCCTTGTAACTGCATCCCTGCAATTTTCAACTCTGCCCATCCTCACTCTTCTGCACCCAACATGTTTTTCCCAATAAAATTTTTAGAAAAGTTTAAAAAAAGTATATGAAGTGCTTTATGTAATGCGTGCCTCTTTATGTAGTACCAGTGCAAAGAGTGTCAACCAAGATGCTAGTTCAGTTTAAAAGTGGAAAGAACCAAAGAGGAACAAACTGAGTTCATTTAACTTTTTTTGGTTGCTAACAATGAATACTATTGTGTGCCAGCTCTAACTCATAGCCATGTTTCATGAATTCCATCAGTCATGTAAGATACAAATCTTGGGTACACTAGAGTATAAATATCTATAATTCATATAAGTAAATAATTTTCCATAATAAAACTGCATCACTGAGTTAGACTGTAAAAAATTAATCACAAGATAATATTTCAATATATGTTGCAGAAATGAATACTTCAACTATTGAAGAACATTTTGCATATTGGTCTTATATACAGTTGGCATGCTAAATGTTTTAGTTAATTTTGGTAAAATTTCCCATAATATTCCTTGAATTAACTGTGAAGGTAATCCTATCACAAGTGTATAATAATTTATTTGCTATTGTTTCTGATTTCATCCTTACAAAAACCTCATGAGGTTGGTAAGATAGTATCATTATTTCATTTTAGAAGTGATGAGACAAAAGGATACACTTTTTAAAAAAACTTACCGGGCATCATTCAAACAGCAGGAATTGAGTACAAGTGGTTTGGCTCCAGAATATGTATGTTCTCGCTCTAAAGAAAATGTTTCTAACCATCTCTACTGTATGAATATGTGTTTATATGTATATGTGTCTTTGGATTTATTTTGCTGTGTATTTCCTAATTCCTTATGCTAGATTTATAGATTTTTCAGCCTTCAGCACTACTTGAAGCCCAAGTGAGATGATAAACTCACTGACTAGGTGATATTATTGTTATGATTATTATCTTTATTAATCTTTTTTCATCTAGAACCTGTGTTATATATTGAGGCTGCTTTTGAGTCCAATATTTAATATTTTATTCTAATCTTTAGATAAAGATATATCCCCTTTTAGCTAAGTCAGAAGCCTCCACTACAGAATTCATCCACACTTTCCTTCCTCCTTGTTTTGGGCACTTAATGTCACCACTGTGACCTTCTCTGCAAACTGTTCATTTATTACTGCAGAAGGTCCATTATTGTTGTTATTATTTGGAAAGGAGAATTTAACTTTCTTTTAAAAAATTTTTACTTCATTTTAAAAACTAGAATTTTACTTTCTTTTAAATGTAATAATATACTAAACAACTTGAGATTTGTTTTTGTCATTTACCCAAAATCTAATTGTACTACAGTGAGGAGATATGTATTTTCTTTTCAATTTTTATTGTTGTTGTTGTGTACAGTCAGATCCTTTCCAGCAGAGTATCTGGTGGATTTGAACCACATGCCTTTGAGATTGCAGCACAACTTCTTGCCACTAGGCCATCAGAGGTCCCAGGATTTCTTTTAAAATGTCTGAGGATACTGCATAATTCCAATATTACAAAACAGGACTGACATCAGTTTTGGGGCAAAAGTAAGAAAAGAAGAGATAAATAATGTACACTGCACTGAAACAGATGAGGGAGAGAACTGTTTTATGATTAGGTATTATTCGCATGGCAAGAGTGCAGAATAAGAGGTGCATAGTAAAGTGGACTGGGGGAGGGACTGTATAACAATGAAAGAATTTTTTTTTTACTTCTCAAAGAGAAAAGCAAACTGGGGATGGGGTAGGAGTGGGCAGGAAGGAAAATGTACAACAATGAATGAATGGAAATCCAAGTTTTCTGTAATTTTTCATTAAAATCTCAGCAGCAACAATAAAAAAATATCTGAGGACCCAGTAAAAATAGCAAAGTTCAGTAGGGCATCAAACAATAAATGCTGGTGAGATTGTGGAGTGGAGAGATTGGAACTCTTACTCACTGTGGATGTAGTACAGTCACAATGGAAGGCTGTCTGGTGCTTTCTCAAAAAATTAGAAATAGAAATACTGTTTGACCCAGAAATTTCACTACCGGGAATATACCCTAAAGAAACCAGAGCTTCAACTCAAATAGATGTATACACACCCATGTCTGTTTCTACATTATGCACAATAGCAACAAGATGTAAGTGCCCTAGTGCCCATCAACAAACAAATGGATAGGAAAACTATGGTGCACTCACATAATGGGATTACACAGCATTGAGAAAAATACATTTATAAAACATTATGCAACATGTGGGAGCCTGGAGGACATTATGATGAGTGAAAAATCTCAGTTACAAAAGGACAAATACTGCATAACACTACCGTTATAAAATAGGGCAGACATAAGGAGGGGATTGGGGCGAGAACCCTGAGTTGCAGGGTTCAGGATGGGCACACCAGAAAGACAGTCATCTTGTTTTCTC